TGGATGGATGAGATAGATAGATAGATAGATAGATAGATAGATAGATAGATAGATAGATGATAGATAGATAGATAGATAGATAGATAGATAGATAGATAGATAGATAGATAGAGATGATATGTAAGGTCTCTTCCTTGAGCCGGGGGTTGGACTAGAAGACCTCCAAGGTGCCTTCCAGCTCTATTCTGATTCTGAAATGCTGGTTTATGCTTCCCATGAATTCTCTTCTTTCTACCGGCCCCGGAATGATACCTGTGCAAATCATGGCGACCAGAGAAGACCTCCGGGCATCTTCCACTTTCCTGGCTCCTAAGGCGTTGCCGACTCGGACACTGGTGGAGGCCCCGATCCCAAAGGGAATCTGAAGTGGACAAAGAGACAGACCTGCTGAGATGCCCCTTCATTTCCTGCCTTGCTAAAGTCTTCCATCAGCCTGGATTTATTGATTAATTTTTTAATATAGCCAGAGTGGGATGGAGCACATTAAATGCCTTGTGTCTCAAAGGTGCTTTTCAGGACTAAAACATATGATGAACCTTTGCAGGAACTGGGCCTGGCTAGTCTAGGGAAGAGAAGGACCAGGGGAGACAGGAGAGCGGCCTTCCAATATTTGAGGGGCTGCCACAGAGAGGAAGGGGGTCAAGCTATTTTCTAAAGCACCCGAAGGCCAGACATGGAATAGTGCATGGAAACTGAACAAGGAGAGATTTAACCTGGAAATAAGGAGAAATTTTCTGACACTGAGAACAATCAACCAATGGAACAGAAGTTGCCTTTGGAAGTTGTGGGAGCTTCATCCTTGGAAGCTTTCAAGAAGAGACTGGACTGCCCTCTGTCAGAAATGGTGTAGGGTCTCCTGCTTGGGCAGGGGGTTGGACTAGATGACCTACAAGGTCCCTTCCAACTCTGTTAATCTGTAAGGAGGCAACTGGACTTTCTTGGTTTTTCTTTTGAAGATGTTTCGCTTCTCATCCAAGAAGCTTCTTCAGCTCTGAATGGTGGTGAGGAAATGGGAAGGATTTATGGTCATTCGCATCCACTTTAGAGGGTCATTGGATTAATTATTTTATTAGTTTGTTATTTTTTATAATTATTTTATAATTATTATTTTTATATGATGTTTTTATATTTGTGTAAGCCATCTTGAGTCGCCTTGTGCAAGTAGGCGGCAATATAAATTTTCTAAAATTAAAAAAAAGAAATACTCTACAGGTGGTCCTTGATTTACGGCCATTTGTTTAGTGACCGTTTGACATCAAACGGCACTGAAAAAAGTGACTGACAACTGTTTTTTCACACTTATGACCATTGCAGCATCCCCTGTGGTCATGTGATCAAAACTCAAATGGCTTGGCAACTGACTCGTATTTATGACGCTTGCAGTCTCCCGGGATCACATGATTCCCTTTTGCGACCTTCTGACAAGCAAAGTCCATGGGGGAAATGTCGGATTCACTTAACGACCGTTTTATTAACTTAACAACTACAGTGATTCGCTTAACAGTTGTGGCAGGTCGTAAAAAGGGGTGAAACTCACTGAACAACTGTGTTACTTCGCAATGTATGTTTTGGGCTCCATTGTTGTCATAAAGCGAGGACTACCTATATGGATGGTACAGATCGTTTAGTGACCATAATTGGCCATTCAGCAAAACATTACTAAGTGAAACTGTGTTCATGATTCGACTTCCACTTTTTTTTGGTTTATAGACCAGTGAATGACGTAAAAGTGATGATGGCTTGCAAAGTTATATTTTTTTCTCATGGTTGTAGATATGAATAGTCAGTAAATGAGGCAGTTGTTAAAAGGGGGCTACAGGTAGTCCTTGAATTGTGACCACAATTGCAGTGGGAACCTAAGTGATATGGACCTTAAGTGAGTTGCACCTAATTTTACGACCTATTTGGGTGGTCCTTAAGTGAATCACATGGTCCTTAAGTGAATCCCTTTTTCCCCTGTTGGAAGCTGTCTGGGACCCACAGGACACCGCAGCCATTGTAAGTATGAATCAGTTGCCAAGAGTCTGACTTTTGATCTTGTGACCGTGGGGAATGCTGCAATGGTCGTAAGTGTGAAGATTGGTCATAAGTTCTGCATTTTCACTGTTCTGTCTTTAAATTGCTGGCTGAATATAAAGACAGTCAAGCAAACTCTACAAAGGCTTCCATACAAAGTTTCTTTATTGGATCACAAGGCATCCTCAAGGTATAACTCACAGTTATGTCGAGATTCATCTAATGTCCAAATCTTTGCCATAACGATAGAGCAAAGCAGCTCGATGTTGCTGGGGTCCAAGCAAGAATAATGGAAACTCCCCCAACCCAACCAAGGGTCAATTCAGTGACCAATCAGGATTTCAGATGTGACCACATGACATGAACTACATTTCCCATGATGCATTAACTACATTTCCCATGAGGCATTCCCTCAAGGGGACAGCTCCCAATTCCCAATTAACTACATACTGTCTAGACAGCACAAGTCCCTTTTTCCCACACCCTTGCAATTGCACAGGGTCTCTAAATGAACAGTCATAAGTCAAAGACCTATTGTACTGGTTTATCTCTTGAGACTTTCAAGAAGAGATTGGACTCCCATCTGTCAGAAATGGTGTAGGATCTCCTGCTTGGGCGGGGGGAGGGTTGGACTAGATGACCTACAAGGTCCCTTCCAACTCTGATTATCCGTTTAATCTATCTATTATAGACAATGCGAAGCATGGGATGCACACAAAATGCAGGGAAATCCACCTTTTGGTTTGCTAATTTGAGGTGTCTGCCAAGGAAGGTCAAAAAAGTCAAAATGGCAGACCTCGGTCCTATTTTGTGGCGATCTGGCAGACAGGAATTGCTTACCATATAAGCTACGGTGGCGATTTCATAGATGACAGATTGTGCAGACAGATCCAGCACACTGAGAAGGCCTAAAATTTTTAAAAAAAAAATCACAAGAAAAGGGAAAAAGTAAATATCCAGGGATGTCCTGAGGGAAGAGATCTAAAAAGTCAAGATGGCGGCTGAGCCGCCATCTTAACCTTTTAGATCTTTTCCCTGAGAGCTCCTGCAAGGATTATGGTAACCCTCAATGTACAACCACCTTCGGAACCAGAATTACTGCTGCTAAGCAGGACGGTTGCTAAATGAGTCACACTTCGGTTTTACGACCGAGTGGTCATTAA